TCTTCGCGCGCTCCCGCTTTACTCTCCGTCGCTTCGCCATTATATTATACACTACTTGGGCCTCGACGCTATTGAGCGGCATGCTGTCGCTCACGGCGTTCCACTTCTGGCTGTTGGATTTTTCAGACAAGTTAAAGCTCTGGGACACTGGCATCCTGCGCGCCGCAAATGTGATTGAACTTAAAAACTAAGAAAGACCGATCAAAGGATGATTTACGGTTCAACTTGCCTAGGTCACGTGAGGTTTCTGGACGCTTACTTATTATTCAACTTGTTGATAAAATTTATCATTTCATGAAGTGGTTTCGCTATATTGTTTTACCACGCCAGTTGATGATTGTGAACCCACTGAGGGCACAGCTAAACTCCTCCCTTCCGATCTGCACAACGTAATTTCAACTACGAACAGTGCGAAGTGTGCTATTCTACGACATCATGATACCACTGCGACGGCCCGGCGAAAGCCGCTGGCGAAATTATAATATCGTCACTTGCGCAAATGTGGAACGAGGATATCTGAACATGGATTCGGATTTGTCTCTATCTTTAGCAAGTCCAAGATGTTTGGACTTAGGCGCACTTCTACGTAAACTCACTGTCACAATAACTTTAGGTCTTACTATAGATCTGGCCCAATAGACGCCTTAATTCCGCAGGTTTAGGCTCGTCAGATCCGGCCAAAGTGCAGGAATACTAGAAGTCTGTCTCCGCGCAGTCAGTCCGAAGTTCGAATATCGTGACGCCGGCAACACTCATATACATACTTGTCTGAGATATCGAAGATTTTTTATAGCGACTAAATTGTTTAGGACAGGCGACTACTCGTGCAATTGTTCTCATGAGTTCCGGCATTCAAACATTCAAAAAAGGACCGTGCCAAACGTCTTTAAACTTCGCGAATGTTGATTTCGGGAGTAATCCCGCCCAAGCTCCCTCGGGGAGCGCATCGGTCATCCCGACGATGCTGACTGGTCCAGTTCCCACCGTTAGCCGACCTCCGATCACCCACCCACACTCCAACAGAAAGTCCGTGCCAAGCACCCATTCAGGCCAGTGCCGCCAGTCCCTGCCACGGCGAGAAGGACCGCGGCAGATGCGTGATCGTGATGTCCAGCCCCGCCTCGACATACGGACGGAGATCCGCGCGCATATCTTCCACTTGCATCTGCCGCCGGAACCGCATCTGCACGCGTTTCAGCGTGGAATACGGGCCCGGGCCCGCGGCAGCCCGCGCAGCGACGAACCGCAGGACAGCCTCGTCGGACACGCGATTGCACCGCTCGATCGCGAGGGCCCGCAGCGCGGGGCAGCAGGGCGCCGGGTTCCCAAGCGACGGCGTGAGCGCCGCGAGCACCTCGTCGTCGAAGTGCGATTCCGTCGAGTCGTCCCACGACGACTGGTACTCGGGGGACAGAACCTCGAGGCTCTGCGTCGTGGGCGGCAGCACGCGGAGGATGTCCAGCAAAGCTGGCTTCGAGAACGTGATGCGATCGATGTGGACGTTCTCTAGGCGCGGAGAGTCGGCGAAGAAGTAGGCGGTGGACACGGCGTCGACATTCTCCTGCAGCTCTCCGGTCAAGATGAGCGTGCGCAAGTCGGGTAATAAAAGGTGCTCCAAGAGGACGAAATGAGATCCAGTATTCCAGCAGTGCAGGTGAAGCAACTGGAGGAAGGCGCATTTGATCATTCTCCCGTGCATTTCAGAGACTGCATCAAGGGGAACGCATAGTTTAAGTTCACGAAGCCCGGGGCACTGCGAGATTAGCTGCAAGATCGCGTCGGCGGTCATGGGTGAGTCTAACGAGAGCTGGGCAAGACATAGAGCCGTCAACTGGCTCCAACGAAGGGGCAACTCCTGGGCATTAAATTCAGGCCCCGGGCCCCAGATGTCAAAATTGGAAATTCGAGGCGCGTCAAGTATCCCGAACTGCTTCCAGTCAAGCCTCCTGAGAGCATTAGAAGAAAGCTTGATCTTGAGGGTCTTGAGCAAAGGTACATCTGCCGCAGTGAGATGTCGCAGCGTCTCGAACGCGGACCGCGAGATTGCAAGTCGAATATCACACCATTGGCTGGCGAATGGAAGCAGCGCCTGCAGCAGCGGGTGCGGGATGGGAGGAGAAATGCAGCCGCAATCCACCGAAATCGACAGAGGGCATTGACCAGTCCGACCCAACCACGTCCGTGTGGTTTCTATCCTCTGCACCAGCTTTTTCTGCAACACGGGGGGTGTGACGGAGGTGAACGGGACTTGCACTCTCGGCAGAGCGACGTGAAGCCGCGCCCAAAGACTAGGCGTGGAGTGGGAAATGGCTCTCCATAAACTGCACACGCGCCCCAGGAGAATGGGCGCCTCCGAGGCGCTCATGACGCAGTTACGGTCCGTTGGGAGGCAGGTTAGGAATATCTCGCGAATGATGTCCAACGGCATGCGTCGAATGGGAGAGAGGAGAGCGCGATGAGCTGCAACATAATCAGCTAAACGGTCGCGCTTCTCTCGCAAATTTGTCCATCGCCGTCTGCATTTCAGTGATCTCGTCGTCGAGATTCGCCAGTCGAACCAGAGGCTCAAGTAGGAAAGCCTTGATTCCAGCGACTTCTTGCTCTCTGGGAGAGTAATTTGTCCAGAGTTTGGAGGCATATGGAGAAGACATGAGCGTTGAAGCAAAGAGAATCGGCACGCAGATTCAAGTGACAAGCGGACATGCTGTGATGTACGTATACATACGTGCCAAAGTGCGGCGTCGCAGAATCGATATTGAGGATGGGAAAAGGGCTTTATCGGTGAGAGAGCCGGGAAAGTCACCCGAAGCCGTCTCAGTTCTTCCTCCATGGTGCCCATGCATCCCTTTCTTCTGGTTATGGCAGCGGAAAAAGAGGCATCGGTTTACGAACGTCGTCAGTCATCCTACGCACCTGATCTAAACTGTTGCCACTTGCGATCTGGCGAATGAGGGCTGAATCGAGTTCATGTGTGCGTTTGACAACATGACTGTTCGCCGACAGACATAACGGCATCGAGGGGTGATGTCAAAAGAATGAGCGCTGAGCCCTCAGCCATGCTGCTGTATATCCGTGACGCCGGTTCTTGCGGGATTAGAATCATATAGGAACGCGGCTCAATCCAACGGGCCTCGATATATGTCGTCCGGCAGACCATAATCGTGTACTCTCTGAGTAGATGGTGAAGAACTTGAAGTTGAAGTCTTGAATGCGACCTTGCTGCATACTGTCCAGTTTTCTACTTGTCGAATGTCGTGTCAGGAAGCTTGGTCCATCTTGTATCTACGATGTCTTTCGGCAGCATGGCAAACGGAGAAAAGATTGAAAACATCCACGTGAGCACTGATCAGAAGCATTATTATAATATTATTTTAATATTTAGGAAATCTCTAAATAAATCTCTAAATAATCGTTTCTAATAGGCCCAGGGTTAGGGTTAGCACTTTGGAAAGTCATAAAAAAAGGAACCCCCGACGACACAAGCCAGTAGTGCAGCGGCAAGGTCATCGCGTCGTCCTGTTGCAAGCAGAGCAAGACGACAAGGGCGGCAAAAATTAGATAACCAAGAATTGTCGCGGTGCGACAATAATAGTGGTTAAACTATTAAGAACAGATACTACACTTGATCTAAGCCAAAAGGCCAGAGTGGTAAAGAATCAAAATGTCGAGCGCTGACTTATATAGGCAGACGGCTGGTCCGTGCGCATTGGTCCGTGCGCGTAAGGACTCCTGGTGGTCCGTGCGCAGTTAGCACGTGAGGTGTTGAAATCGGTTAACTTCGAGTTCAAGTTGGTGCGACTCGTGCATACTCACGCTGCGAGCTTGCAAGAGTTGGCCTCAGTGCAAGTCGCCCGGTGAAGCACTGGCACGAGCCACTGGCATAGCATACAGTATCACTCGGGTACAGAGTTGGATCCACAACTAATCTACATAGCACTGCCACCTGTCTCTCTTTACCATCTTTCTTTTTTCGCATACCTGGGTCGCTTCAGGTCTCGTTCTCTGATGGCCTTTGCGCAGATGTTTGGCCGTGCCCGCTCCCTGCTCCGGGCTTCAAGTTCCACGCCGTCGCGGAAGGTATTCAGGCTTCGCGGAGACGCGGACGCACAACCCGCATCCTCTCGGCGTCCTGCCACGCAGATCAGAGGACTTCACCTACCTTACAGTAGGGGTGGCATTTTTCTTGTTTGAGATTCAACGTGGAAAGTATAAAATACCTGAGAAGAGCGGATTCAGAATCATTCGTTGTTCAACTTGAAGATCAATATCGATCCGTCCGCCGACCCAACTCGATACAGTATCTCCACAAGACGAGTCTGAGTCATCCGGCATGGTCGGTGTCACTGAAAGCGCTAACGTCTTCATTCGCCTCCAAGCTAGGGACCGATTAATGTCCCAGGGACCAAGAAGCTGCCAGGCATTGCTTAAGCTTGTCGTGTCGCGGTGAGCACCTCGACAATGAAATCACCCACATGCGGCGATCGACAGATTGTTGGAGGAACGGGGCCGCCTGCCTGCTTACGTGGCAGCTCATCGCGCGCTCCTCTCTCCCATCCACCGCATGCTGGATATTATTCAAGTAATATGCCTTGCTATATCACTCTCCACCCCGGCCCTGTGGACTCGACTGCCGTGCTCTATGCCGCACTTCTGTGCATTTCACTAGTCTGCGATCCCAAAAGCTCCACCGTGCGTCCACATCCCCATTCATTGCTGCAGGCCGTCCTCTCGTTCTCAACTCGCTGGCAGCGCGTCCAGTTTCATCTCCTAGAAACTCTGCGTGCATTTCATTCAACCACGATTATGGACGTGATCCGCGCGGCATGACTGGGCCACGAAATTCCAAGTACTTCACAGTTCTCTGCACTTTAACCCGCTAGACTTGTCTTCGCCAAAAAGCTTGCCCTTACTGTAATAAGGTATTAAGAAGAAACACTGTCATGCACTACAAAAAATATAGGAAATTATTTAAATAAAATAGTATCCAACCTCCTGTCAATTTCCGGAACGGGGAGTCGAACCCCGGGCTGCCGCGGTTACTCCATGAGAGGCGGCAATGTTACCCCTAAACCATTCCGGAGATCCCTTGGTAGTCTCTTTCCCTAACTTGGCACTCTTGAACGACGTGATAAAAAACTGTTGAAGTTGAGTGGCTATGCAGCACTATATGTACTTAGAACCGTTCGAACGAAAGAAAATGCTGACCTCGAGATGGCTGTCACCCTACCCGTTTGACTGGTTCGAAGACCCTGCCTGTTCAAACGATGTTGAAACCAAAAAAAAAAAAAACGATGCACGACTTGACAGGTGGAACTGCGCCAAGGTCCAATTGCTGCAACTGTTTTGATGGGCATCATCGGGTGTTTAGGTAAACGCAGCCCCGAGCGCGGAGCGCGCGCGGGGCCCAGGGTGGGACGAGAGAGGCCGGAATGGCACATACAAAAGGTAACTGTACATAAGAAAAGAAAGGTGCGGGAATGTAATGGGGCGGGTGCAACGATACTACGTGATACTGGCGAGACGGACGGAATGAGATACGAGAACAGTGATACTATGAGGGAAAACGTACCTGGCGAGACGGACGGAAGGCTAGGGAGCAAACCGCCGCCTCGCCAGGCTTATATACATGGTCAACACTTTGTCCGTTGTGTGACGATGGCGCTTTGGCCGTTGTTGCTTTGGACGTGGTCCAGAAGGGGATGCTCGTGAAAAGCGCGGCACTTGCGACCTGGGGGATGGACGCGCTCCCTCATCCTCTTACGACCCGTGGGGTGAGGATGGTTGAGCAAAATAGATGCGCGGAGGCCAGCCACGCGATTGGACTTGAGTAAACCCTCGTTTAAACCCGATTAAACGCTGTTCGAACCAGCCGTTCGAACAGATGGCACACCGTGGACAGGATTTGCAACTCGACGATGCTACTTACTGTAATTTGGTGGCATGCCTCAAACGATCCAAAAAACTCCACCGTGCGTCCACATCCCCATCCACAGCTGCTGTAGGCCGTCCTCTCGTTTTCAGCTCGCTGGCAGCGTGTCCAATTCCATCTCCCGGAAACTCTGTGTGCATTTCATTTAACCACAATTATCGACGTGATCCGGAGTTCTTCGCGCGGTATGACTGGACGAAATTCCAAGTGCTCCGCACTTTAACCCGCTAACTTGCCTTTTCGATGGAATTAGCCAACCTTAATAAGGCATTAAGAAGAGACACTGGGACTCATGTCCGCACTATAAAAAATATAGGAAATCTACATAAATAAAAGAAAATCTACATAAATAAAAGAAAATCTTGTCGCATTATTGCAATTTCCGGAACGGGGATTCGAACCCCGGGCTGCCGCGGTCACTGAAATCAATACATGAGAAGCGGCAATGTTACCCCTACACCATTCCGGAGATCTATTTACGGTCTCTTTCCCGGATTTTCACCTCTTGAACGACGTGATAAAATACTGTTGAAGTTGAGTGGCTATATGTACTTGAAATGTTGGCCTCGAGATAGCTGTCACCCTACCCGTTTGAACGTTGAGGTGGCTTTAACCCTGCCTGTTCAGGATGTTAAAACCAAAAAAAAAAAAAAAAAAAAAAAAAGCATTGAACTGCGCTGACCGTTTGCATGGTTTGAACACTTTTCGAACCAGCCGTTCGAACAGATGGTACACCATGGACAGGACTTAATGTTTGAACCAGCCGTTCGCACTTAAATTAGACCGTATCGCTTGTAACGTTCACCAGAAAGTAATACATTATATATATATATAGCGAACAAGAGCCTAGTTAACGTTGGCAATTTCGCTTTTCCAGCCATGAGCGGCCTCGAAGCCGTTGCGTCCTTCACGATCTGAAGGGGACGCTGAGCACTGCAAGTCGACGGTGCATAACAGCGGATAAAGCACTCACAGTCGCGGAACGTCTGCATGATCTCTTCTTGCGTGTTCATGACGAACGGGCCGTACTGCACGATTGGTTCGTCGATAGGCTCGGCAGCCGCCTAGTCCCGTTACTTAGAGACGAAAAGAAAACGAAAGGGCGGGAGAACGTACGAGCATAAACTCGGCGTCGCTCGATGCGGATCTGAGCCGCACTCCCGTCTCGCTCGCGTTCGCAGACAGAACGAGCGTGTTGAACGAGTCGTGTGGGACGGCGTCGCCCCCCACGATCAGCTTTCCCTTCAGGATGTAGATGAACGCCGTCCACCCCGCAGCTGCAGCCCCGCCGGTGAGACAATTTCGACCACGAACAGAGGAGGCCGCTCACGGAGGTCTTGGAACACGTCGACCTGCTCCCGCTCAAACGTGTAGTGGAAGTACCAGCACCCGCCGAGCGGGCGCACGGGCGACTCGACGCCGTGGCTCGTCCCGCTGATGACTTTGACGCGGACGGGGCCGCCCGCGCCGTGCGGGTACGCCGTCGGAATCTGCGCGGGCCCGAGCTCCTGGTACGACGGCGCGACCATCTTGTACTTCTTGGGGAGGTTGACCCAGAGCTGCAGCCCGCGCGGCTCGGGCTGGCCCGGCGCGCTGACGGGCATCTCAGCGTGCACAATCCCGCGGCCCTGCGTGCGATAAGGCAGAGCGGAGCAAGGAGGGGGGGCACACGCACGGCGACCATCCACTGCACGCCGCCTGTCTCGATGGTTCCTTTGTGGCCCGCTGAGTCTTCGTGATTGCTCGATCTTCGCCGCGTCAGTGTACAGTGCGTTGATATAGGCGGTCAAGCTTACCCTTCAAGCATCTAAATGAAGTCTTGCCGTTATTTACTGAGGAGCACTTGAGCGACAATGACATACGTAGGTTACAGTGCATTGCCCCCGATGCGGATGATCGGGAAAGCCAGCTCCAGCCGCACTGAAGGACCGCGACGTCAGGCGCATCGCAGAAGCAGCCCGAACACATACACATGAAAGTGGTCGAGCATCAAAAACGGCGTCAGGTTGCGCACTATGCCATGCTCGGATTCAGGGTTTCACGGTTCTCAGGATGCAGAACGCACGGCTCGATGTTCCGATGCTCCTGCGGACTGTGGAGGTTGAATAATGGACCCTCTGGTGGCAGCATGCGGGACACACCGAGCGCACCGTCGCCTTCGGGTGTTTCGATCGCGAAGACCTTGTTCGTCACCGAACGGGTTGCGGATGTTGCAGACATGCTGGTTCGCGGACTTGGGGTCACGATGAAGGCTGCGAGGGAGAATATGAAGACAGAGGTCGCCCAGAAGGTGACTTTATATTGCAAGGTCATACGTATTAGTAAGCCGGGATTACCTTGATAAGGCAAATTTATAATAGTGTTTACGAGAGACTAGTTATGTAATCAATACTGTTATTTTTCAACTATCGACTCACAACTTCACAACAAATAGCCCCAGCTCAATAGTGTTTACGACAATGTAGCCACTCTCGTAATACGGATATACGCTCCGAGAGCCACCGAATTCAGCGATTACGTTGACGTCGTCCTCAGGGTAAAATGAGGCAGGGATATCAGATTTTCGGATAGCGTTTGAAGCCGTGCCACCAAATTAGCGTCGTGGTTCGAACAGTGCAAACGGTCAGTGCAGTTCCACCTGTCATGTTGTGCAATTTTTTTTTTTTTTTTTTTTGGTTCAACATCGTTTGAACAGGCAGGGTCTTCGAACCAGTCATACCGTTCAAACGGGTAGGGTGACAACTATCCCGAGGCCAACATTTTCTTTTGTTCGAATGGTTCTATGTATGGTTCTGCCATAGCCACTCAACTTCAACAGTTTTTTGATCACGTCGTTCACGAGTGTGAAGTCAGGGAAAGATACTGTGAATGAATCTCCGGAATGGTGTAGGGGTAACATTGCCGCCTCTCATGCGTCGATTTTGAGTAACCGCGGCAGCCCGGGGTTCGACTCCCGTTCCGGAAATAAAGCGTCGAAGCAGTTTTTATTTATTTACATAAGTAAGTTTCCTATATTTTTTTATAGTGCGGACATGTCATTGTCATTGTCAACAGTGTTTCTTCTTAATGCCTTATTAAGGGCAAGATTTTGGGCTAATTCCATCGAAGGGGCAAGTCTAGCGGGTCAAAGTGCGGAGTACTTGGAATTTCGTGGCCCAGTCATGCTGCGCGAAGAACTCCGGATCATGTCGATAATCGTGGTTGAATGAAATGCACGCAGAGTTTCTGGGAGATGGAACTGGACGCGCTGCCGGCGAGCTGAAAACGAGAAGACGGCCTGCAGCGGACGGGGGTGTGGACGCACTGGAGCTTTTGGGATCCGAGTCGCAGACCAGTGAAATGCACAAGGGGGATCCGCGAGAACGACCCAGCCACTGCTCGGTAGCTATAGCTTTTGACATGCTTGCACCCGAAGTGCAGCAGGGGTCTCCGGAGAGCACGGGGGTTCAATCCACAGGGCCGGGCCCGGGGTCGAGAGTGATATAGCTCTCTATTAGCTCTCCACAAACTGCATATGCAGCCCAAGAGAATTGGAGCTTCAGAGGTGCTCATAACGCAGTTACGCTCCGACGGGAGGCATGCAAGATTGAATAATATCCAGCGGCATGCGCCGGATGGGAGAGCGGAGCGCGCGATGAGCTGACACGTAGGCAGCCAGGCGGCCTCCGACGATCTGTCGATCGCCGCATGTGGGTGGTTTCATTGTCGCGGTGCTGCAACTGGAGCACCGGCATGACGAGGAATGCCTTGATTTTGGCGACTTCTTGGTCCCTAGGATACCTCAACTTGGAGGCGAATGAAGACATTAGCGCTTTCAGTGACACCGACCATGCCGGATGACTCGGACTGAGTTGGGTCTGCGGACGGTTGATCGGTATTGATCTTCAAGTTGAAGGTATGATTCCGCTCTTCACTTTTCAGGTTGAATCTCAAGCAAGTAAAATGCAACCCCTATTTTAAGGTAAGAAGTCCTCTGATCTGCGTGGCAGAAGCAAGAGGACGAGAGGATGCGGATTGTGCATCCGCGAAGCCTGAATATCTTTCGCGACGGCGTGGAAGCCCGCAGCAGGGAGCGGGCACAGCCGAACCTCTACAAAAGCTATCAGAGAACGAGACCTGAAGCGACCCAGGTATGTATGCGAAAAAAGAGGGAATGGGAGGGCGATAAAAGAACAGTGTTCAAACCATTCAAATGGTCAGCGCAGTTCCACCTGCATTGTTTTTTTTTTCGGTTTCAACATCGTTTGAACAGGCAGGGTCTTCGAACCAGTCATACCGTTCAAACGGGGACAGCCATCTCGAGGCCAACATTTTCTCTCGTTCGAACGGTTCTAAGTACATGTGGTTCTGCCATAGCCACTCAACTTCAACAGTTTTTTATCACGTCGTTCAAGAGTGGGAACTCAGGGAAAGAGACTGGAAAGGGACCTCCGGAATGGTGTAGGGTTAACATCTGGTAACATTGTCGCCTCTCATGAGGGATGTTGTTTCAGTAAATGCGGCAGCCTGGCCGTTCTGGAAGTATACTCGTCATAAGAGCTTTTTTTATGTAAGTAAGTTTCCTATATTTCTTATAGTGCGGACCAGTGTTCCGTTTCTTCTTACATATCAAGGGCAAGATTTTTGGCTAATTCCATCGAAGAAGCAAGTCTAGCGAAAGTGCGGAGTACTTGGAATTTCGTGGCGCAGTCATGCCGCGCGAGTAACTCCGGATCACGTCGATAATCGTGATTGAATGAAATGCACGCAGAGTTTTTGGGAGATGGGACTGGACGCGCTGCAGCTACCAGCGAGCTGAAAATGAGAGGACGGCCTACAGCAGCTGTCCAAATTAGCGTCGTCGAGTTGCAAGTCCCGTCCACGGTGTGCCATCTGTTCGAACGGCTGGTTCGAACGGCCCACCTGTCAAATTGTGCATGGGTTTTTTTTTTTTGGTTTCAACATCGTTTGAACAGGTAGGGTCTTCATACCGTTGAAAAGGGTAAGGTGACAGCCATCTCGAGGCCAACATTTTCTTTCGTTCGAATGGTTCTAGAATTCTACACTCAACTTCAACAGTTTTTGATCACGTCGTTCACGAGTGGAATATCAGGGAAAGAGACTATACAAAAGTCTCCGGAATGGTGTAGCGGTAACATTGCCGATTTTCCTTGGCAGCCCGGGGTTCGAATCCCCGTTCCGGGAATCAAGAAATTTGATTGTTGTATTTCTTATTTAAGGAAGTTTCCTATATTTTATGTCAACAGTGTTTCTTCTTAATGCCTTGTCAAGGGCAAGCTTTTTGACTAATTCCATCGAAGAGGCAAGTCTAGCGGGAGTTGGAATTTCGTGGCCCAGTCATGCCACGCGAAGAACTCCGGATCGCGTCGATAATCGTGGTTGAATGAAATGCATGCAGAGTTTTGGGAGATGGGACTGGACGCACCGCCAGCGAACTGAAAACGAGAGGACGGCCCGCAACAGTGGATATCGATGTGGATGTGGACGCACGGTGGAGTTTTTTTGGATCGTTTAAACCGTGCCACCAAATTAGCGTCGTCGAGTTGCAAGTCCTGTCCACGGTGTGCCATCTGTTCGAACGGCTGGTTCGAACAGCGTTCAAACCATGCCAACAGTTGTCGCAGTTCCACCTGTCAAGTCGTGCATGGTTTTTTTTTTGGTCTCAACATCGTTTGAACAGGCAGGGTCACAGCCACCTCAACGTTCGAACCAGTCATACCGTCATACCGTTCAAACGGGTAGGTGCCAGCCATCTCGAGGCCAACCTAACTTTCTTTCGTTCGAACGGTTCTATGGTTCAGCCACAGCCACTCAACTTCAACAGTTTTTTTGATCACGTCGTTCAAATGACAACCAGTAGTTTTGTTGGTTCTGGGGTTGGATTCACAACTACCAGGTCAACTTCAGCAGTTATATGCATTTCGAGCTGTGACTCCAAAGAAAAGTTGAGATTCCTGAAAAGTAATTGATAAGAGCCATGTAAGGGATGAGTCGGACATCGATGACGGACCCGGACCTGATAATGAAACGGTGCCCTGTTCCTACCAATCGTCGACGTCGTCCCATGCGACCTGCTCCGACTTACGGTTCCGTGTGTGCTCCAGAGTGTCCCGCCGGCACCCCATCTGTCGCGCAAACTGCAGCCGGATACGCTGCAGTGCGGGCGGTTTATCGGCGGTCATCCTCGCGCTGATACATTGCAGGAGAGCGGCGTCCGAAACGACCGAGCACTGGCATGTCCTGACGGCAAAGCTGCGCAGTGCAGGACAATTAAAAGGGCGGGGCGGGGCGGCCTGCGGCAGGTGTGAGCGCCGCGAGGATGTCGTCGACGTCGCCGAGTGGGGCCCGGGTTCGGCCATGGGATGAGATCGCTGCGCCCTGTGGCCACTGGCAGCTGCTGTGTCATGTCCGTGATGCTCAGCCGCTGGATCGTCTGCGGTACGGCATGGAGAATGCCATGATGACATCTGCGTCGAGATGGAGGCTTTCCGGCCGCGCCGAAACAGAGAAGAAGTTCAGGCAGTGAAAGGCGATTCGAGACGGTCAAGGGGAATCCGGCGCCGCGAGTGGCGCGCTGCAGCACAAACGTGTGCAGGGCGACGGACTTAACTGGGGGGTGCTGATTCCATCAAGAGTCTAGCGGGTCAAAGTGCGGAGTAAGTACTTTGAATTTCGTGGCTCAGTCATGCCGCGCGAAGAACTCCGGATCACGTCGAGCTTGATCCGGATCACGTCGAACTTGAACTCGAAGTTAACCGACTTCAACACCTCACGTGCTAACCGCGCACGGACCACCATTACGCCTTACGCGCACGGACCAACCATCTGCCTATATAAGCCAGGCATCGACAGTTTGATTCTTTACCACTCTGGCCTTTTGGCTTAGATCAAGTGTAGTATCTGTTCTTAATAGTTTAACCACTATTATTGTCGTACCGCGACAATTCTTGGTTATCTAATTTTTGTCGCCCTTGTCGTCCTGCTCTGCTTGCAACAGGACGCCGCGATGACCTTGCCATTGCACTACTGGCTTGTGTCGTCGGGGGTTCCTTTTTTTTATGACTTTCCAAAGTGCTAACCCTAACCCTGGGCCTAGAAATAATGATCATCATCATCATGTTTTCAATCTTTTCTCCGTTTGCCATGCTGCCGAAAGATATCGTAAATACAAGATGGACCAAGCTTCCTGACACGACATTCGACAAGTAGAAAACTGGACAGTATGCAGCAAGGTCGCGTTCAAGACTTCAGCTTCAAGTTCTTCACCATCCACTACTCAGAGTGACGATTATGGTCTGCCCGACAACATATGGATTCAAATTGGGCTGCGTTCCAGTATGATTCCAATCCCGCAAAAACCGGGCGTCACGGACATACTGTAACAGCAGCATGGCTGAGTTTTGATATAACGTTCACTTTATAGCAAGGGTGTGCCGGGCCGTGAATGCCGGACCGGAGGCTGGTTGGTTGGTCCCTCCGTCGGCTTGATTTTTTTCTTTTCCCTACCAAAAGTTTTTTCCATCTGGAAGTGTTATGGGTTGTCCCTAGAAACTCATATGTGTATTATATGCATTCAAGCACTGTTCTAAAGCCCTTGGTACACCCAATGGAACGTCCCGGAGTCCAATTTGGTCGAGATTTCCATATTGGGTCAGATCATATCAAATGCAAATAACTGACAAATCACGGACACGTGTCTACAGCGATAATTCAGAAGAACCAGACCTACACGCTGGCACATTGGGTGCATCAATGCTTGACACGTGTCAGGTCAACCGTCCTTCTGATCATGACTTATATCATGTCTGGCAAAATATGTACACGAGCCACCTGCCCTAGCTGCGGCGTCCGGCTTGGCTACAGCACAGCATGAGGTTTAATGAAAACGAGATGTTCTACCCATAAACACAAGGAGCGTGGGGATCTAGGGGACCTATCTGCAGTTCTAGCAGCGTGCATCCGAGTCCACGGTAATTCTGCGATCCCAACTGATCTATGTATGGTTGGAAACACATTGTTCAATGTTTCGCTGCCTTTAGCTGCTCAAATATCGGACCAATTACACAAAACACGCAGTAGACTTTAGATATTTGCGCTTGACACGTGCATTATTTCCTTATTTGGACATCACGTGGTATGACGTGGTTGGTTGGTTACCCCTTGACCATCGAAAAAAAAAAGTCCGGCCTATGTTCCACGGTTCACAAAGTTTGATACCCTTGCTTTATAGTACATGTCTGTCGGCGAACAGTCATGTTGTCAAACGCACACATGAACTCGATTCAGCCCCCCCTCAGTCGTATTCCCTCCAAGAGCCACCGAATTTAGCGATTACGTTGACGTCGTCGTCCTCAGGGCCCCAGGGATATCAGATTTTCGGAAGGCCTAAGAGTATTCGGTACACGGCCGCGGATGGCGCAGTCTCGCGGTTCGGACGGTGAAATATGATTCAGGATATGAGTCAGATTAAGCATGCGAAGGGAGTTGGATTCGACGAGGATGTGTGGCGCAATTTCGGAATGGATAAAGGCCAGCGAACATATATAGTCGAACTTTGGGGATTTGGAAATTATGTGCAAGACCATTTCGGATGATCTTTGAGTCCCAGAAGAGGTCATTGAGTGACAGATCTGTTAGGTGGTTCCATCGAAGGGGTTAAAGTGGCTTTCCAAGATACTCACAGTCGAAAGTAGTCTCTCTAGGACAGACGCTCTATAAGTTTGCGCTCGTACCTCGCGTTATAGAGTCTGTTGGTTACCGCGTCAACTAAGCGGCGTCCAATCTTATTATCTAATGATGTGATATCTCCGAGATACACCACCAAACAACTCACGCGTCTCTGCCTCACTCGACGCGTATACCGCGACGTGTTGCCAAATAACTTATCTAGAATGAGTCTAGTTCCACCTGAGACCTTCTATGACACTCCAAGACAGCCCCCACCACGGTTTCCATTAATCAGCTGTACTTCCTATTATTATCAACATTACGGCCGAGGTGCACGTGACCTCCGCATCTGGGTCGGCTGTGTTTAGCTGTGTTTCCTCGACGGACTTGCCAATTGCGAAGACCAGTCCATTGAGGTATCTTCGTCACGAAAATCAGTTGTATTGTCATACAAACTTGTTTGGTTTGCTATTTTCGGCTTCGCAACGGTGCCATGCGCGAGTACACAAAGTCGTGTCGAGAATGTTGACAGTTGTTGTCGGCACACGTGCTGTCCCAAAGTGGATGCTTATATAATAAGGCTGGTCGCCTACTGTCAGACCGTGGTAACCACAGGACTAAGTCGAAAGCTTGGGTGCGCAGAGCAACCCACACTTTTCCCAGTCTTCTGTGAACGGTATCATGCTATTGAGTTTTTCGTCAATGTCAGGGCCGAATGAAAAGCTTTGGAGTACGGGAACATCACTGAAGTCAGGTGGCCCAAATATCTAAGTTGGAGTGCGGGGATCGAACAACCTGCCACGGTGGGGCGTAGAAGCGATCATTCCAATTCCGGGAGTGACAGGCCAGTGAGATTCACAGAGGACATATCCCAGAAGCTCGTTGTTCCGTCTTACGTTGTGTGGGGGGACTCGAACTTGAACATTCCGGGACAGGCCTCGGACCAGCGCTGATGTGGAGCCGAGCCCACAGGCATGGCGATACGGCTCTCTGTGTACTGCATATGCGCCTCAAGAGAAAAGGCGCCCACACATCGAATGGGTGAAAGAAGATCCTGATGCGTTCCGAGAGTTTGTTCGGGGGCAATTCGGGGGATACTTAGGTTTGTGCATCACCCTCAGCAGTTCCGCGTTTTCGTCATCAAGGTGCTTCAGCCGAGGCGTGGGTTCCACAAGGAGGGCTTTGAACTCGATGACCTCTCTCTCGTTATCGTATGAAGAGCTAATGTTCCATCTCACGTGATCAGATCGAACATTGAAACTCAGAAGTAACTCAGACTTGGAGTTCGGCAGTGACAGGCGCAGATGGATTAAGATAAATTCATTAAACGGTCGAGGCGATAATAACAAATTTTGAACGGCCGTGACGATACCAATTTGAAGAGCACATGATTGAAATAAATAGGGCCACAGGCCAGATCTAATAGACGAGCAATTCTTTCGCGCTGTGTCAAACCATCTGCCGTCCTCGTTGTGCAGGTATAAAACTCCTAGCCCATCGCACTGTTTCTTCACGCG